GTTTGTTGTTGTCTTGTTTGGTACAAGATTTTAACCTTCTTTTATTTAAATAATTTAATACGTAGTAAATATTGATCCAGTGCTGTGCTCGACGGGGTCCACCATATCTGAGATGATACATATTTTCATGTTTACTGTCTGCATGTTACTAAAGATTGTTGAATGGCAATAAATATTCATAATTCATCATGATCATCTAGTAAATACTATTGCTACTATACCTACTCTTAAAATAAAACAGGCAAAATACAAGTTCTTTTTTAAAATGTCCTTAATACTTTCCAATTAATAAAATTTTAAAAAACTTTTATGGGCCTGTCGATGGGAAAAGTCTTAGTAACGGCCAGGTGCGCATGAGGAGAGAGCCCTTAATAGTTTTAATAGATACTTGTCATCGATAGTGCATTATTCGACATCGTGGTCACGCGCCGCGATAACGTGTGCAACTGCGCACGCGTCGTGGCAGAGTGCGTGTCGCGTGGGAAACACCTCTGGTCTAATGGCTCTTTAAGTGTTACTATTTAGTTTTGGAGGCTTCGCTCAAGCGTGATTTGATGACAGATAATGTTATTGAACAATTCCGTTATTTTGTATTCTGTAAAAAGTATGTCGCAAACGTTCTCAGCGTTACTTGTTTGATGTCATTACAGAGCACTTTACGGATACCACCCATCGGTGGTTATCTCGGACTCGAACCGACCAAACCGCACGCCGTTTCGGGTACCAGTTGCCGGGGAACCAGGTGTACCCTAGGGAAGAAATCCCTGATACCCCGACTTACCTCGGGTCATCTACGGCGTGTAGCGGCGCACGCACTCTGCAGCGCGTTTCGCGACCACCCCGGCCTTTTTCTGCAAGGGTGACAGATGGCCTCACCTACCACCCCCAGGCCTACGATTATGGAGGATGGTGGTCGTTCTGCGACCTCCGGTACCTGAGTCGTCTGCGGTACCTGGCCCGTTGCCAGGCCTGGCGGGCCGAGAGAGTTCTAAACCTCTCCCGGTCCCGCTCCGCCATCTTCATTACAAGCATAACTTGCTCGCGGAAAGTGACGGCCGAGTTCCACGAACTCTCGCTCCGCACCATGGCGGCAATCATGTTACCGAGCGAGAGAATTCCCACTCCGATGGCCGCCACGAGGCAACGCCTCTGCTCCACCCACGCCGGCCATTCTGCCAGCGTGTGACACAGGTGATCTCCGAAGCATCCTTTCCCGTTTATCACGGTATGAGAGGGTTCCGTGATGCCTCTCGAGCAGATTATCCATAACGGGTCTTACCGCCGCGTCATTACAGAGCACTAAATGTAATTCTACTAACTTCCTTCCGTGGTGATTCTTTATTCCGATTTTCAATAATTTGTTTGTATCAACTTGGTTATTTTGTAATCAAACAACAAAAAGGTATGCCGCAAAAAAAAAACCTATATTTCGACATTCTCAAGGGAATCACAATTTATAGGGTATTTTCCATTGACCTAGAACTATGAAATTTGGCAAGTAATATCGCCTTATACTCGTACTAAAGTAAAGGTAAAAATCTGTAAACTATACATTTGTAATTAAATTAAAAAAAAAACAGGGTCTTTTTGCGTTAACCGTGTCATATGGTGTATCGTACGAAAGGGCTTCATTGGCACAAGCTTAAACAGATTTTTAATTATTTTTATGATGTTGTTGATGTTTTGGATTACAAATTTGTACGGAACCCTCGATGGGCGAGTCCTACTTGCACCTGCCCGGCTTTTTTAATTCTATATTGCTCCTTTTAATTTGTGTGTTTGAGCGGATATGCCATTAATTTTTGTCCCTGATATAAATATTTCCTTCTTTGTATACTCTTGACCACATTTAAATGCTTATTCTGTTATACAACGACTGCCTTTCTGTCTCTCATTCACTAGCTTTGCGTTCGCTCCTCCAGTGATCCCGTATGTATATTCACTCCACACTAATATACATACGGGATCACTGGAGGAGCAATCTAAACATATATTTACTAACATAAAACTTTTCAGTACTTACGGTTGTGTTTTATGTAAGTATTGAATTTGTAAATCATTAATGGTTTTAAATAAAAGGTATTAGGGGGTAGTTTCTAACATACGCAGATTCAATAAACTTAATTTTCCTAAGCGCTCATTGTTTACGTGTTTCGTAAGGTCTTTACTAAATATAGACATGTTGAATGAGTTGCTGGGTGTTCTTCCAAGTTATCTATACAAATGCAGGAAGTCGAAACTAAACAGACAGTTCGGGGGAAACGATGAAAGGGCGCACGTTTTCATACATTTGTAAACTATGCTGCAATTGAGTACAGTGACGTCCAAACTATGACAAGAAACAGATGGCTTTCTTTTTGCGCATGAGGTTTTACTCTCTTAAATAATTACCAATTTTTGAGTAAGTGCATCTCCTTGATAGTCTTTTGAAAATTTTCTAGTTTGTTCGTTTTCGCGACTCAGCGATTATCTTTATAAGCCAATAAGACAATAAGAATTTAAGATGTCCTGTTTAAAGGGCTATTAAGATGCCGTTAGAAAGGAGTTTTTCAAAACATAAAAAGCCTCGGCTATTATAATTTGCTGCTAGCAGTACTAGTGGCCAGTGTAACTGTATCCATGCTTTTTATTTATTTTGTTAAATAAGTTAACAGTAGTCTATTTCAATTATCTTTGTCAAATTATTAAGATCTAAAAAAGAAAAGCTATTTAATTAAATATTTTCTGGACGATTTATTTTAATTCACCTGTTCTTGAACTGAGGTATATTAAATAAAAAATCTATCATCAACTCACGAACGACGATGATGCCGTTTAATAAAATAAAACCACCGCTGATCTAAAAACATCTTAAAGTTATTAAATTCAGTCATTTTATTCATTTTAACATATTCAGTGTGTCAGTATTTCTTTGTTCATTCGATAAGCATTGTATTCACTGGCATGGAAACTTTCGTTTAGTGTTCCGTCAATGGAACCGCAAAAAAGTGCGAACAGTGGCACCTGGACCTCATGCAGCGCATGAAATTAACTGTTAAATAACTTTAGAAAAAGTTGGTCAATTTTCGTACTGCGTGTGCGTATTAGTTATTACGTAGTAAGTAGGGAGGGTACATGGGCACAGGTTTACCTATTGCGACATATTAGCAAAACGAAAGCTATAATCTATATCAGTACTTTTCGCACTTAAACATGAGCTATGTTTAAGTGCGAAAAGTACTGATTTCCATCCTTTAAGTTTAACTTTAAGTAAGGTTTCCATCCTAACGGAAAAAAGTTTAGCTTGGAGTAGAGTGGCGATCACGGATTTGTTGTCTTACCTGCTAATAGAAAGGCCGTTTTCTTATTCCTATGATACGAGTACATAGCGAATATTTAAGGAGCAGAAAACTGCTTATTATAACATGTCGAGAGGAGTTCAGCAGTTGGCGTGCTAAGTTTCAAAAGGTTTACTGTCCCCAAAATCGTTTTGAAATCTTTCATTCTTAATGCTTCATCTAATTCTTAATTGTGTATCTCAGTTATCCAGCATATTTATTTATATATTTAATTATGACGCTCAAATATACCAAAACCATGAGACGTTTCTTCCTTTATATTTTAGCGTTGAAAATACAAAGATAATTTTTTATTTTATAGTAATTGGTTAATGAAATAATGTTGCGTGGTCTGCCTGATTATGACCTGTTACAGTTACTGTTACAGTTTAGACACCAGTGTTCTACATACACAGAATACAGTAGTTTTTTAGTAGAGCACCAGGGACTTCCTTTCTAGGGTATACCTGGTTCCCCGGCTATTAGTACCCGAGACGGCGTGCGGTTTTAGTCGGTTCGAGTCCGACATGCCACCGATAGGTGGTATCCGAGGGGATTTCCGCACGGAAAAAAAAGGTCTAATGTTAGTAGAGAAAAACTTTGATAATATAACATACCTATGTAGTATTATATCAAAAATTAAAATGATCATGTTAAAATAACTTATGATAATCTTTTCAATTGCAGAACAGAACAGAACTGTTTGGCAATTTTCTTTAAAAAAACGTGATAAAGCGCTATGGACTCGCACCTTACAACATTACTGTTGAAAATGTGTTTTGTACGTGTTGATATACTTAATGACTGTTTAGTACCCTCAGCAAAGCTAATTGCGTGATGTTTAGTTACTTGACTTCATCGGCATGAATTTTATTTTACTAAGTTTAGTTTAAACAGGTCGTGAGACTTTCACTTTTTTTCGTGCATTTTAATAACCGTTTGTGATGTTGTCTTCGTGACTCATCGCTGTCTGATCTCAAGTGTAAACAGAATATCTTCCATCTTGTATTAAAAAGAAATTTATAGACATTACTGTCAATGCCTATTCATGATACGGCAATAAAATTAAATTAAACACATTTCTATAAAGAAGAGATGTTCATGATTCTCAATAAACTCACGCGATTGAAGAACTTGCATAGCTCTATTCTTGTCAGGTTTCTTTTAGATTTTTTAAGGTTTATTATTCAAAAGTAATGGCTACATGATCCTTTTCATAAAACTACTTTATCAACCGACTGATGATAAGCGGTTATCAATAAATATATGCAAAGTCGCAACAATGGCAATATACCTATTTTTTGTGACTATTCACACTTTATATCTGCATAATAACATGATTCAAGGCAATTGTTCTTCATTATTCATTCTTATCTTACCTTAACTAAACCTGTCTTAGCATGTGTTGTCTGTTGACAATCATCTGGCAGAACCATATGTCACAAGGAAGAAGAAAAAACAAAACAAGGTGCGGAAGTGGCGGGTCGCGCATGCGCGGCTCTGGTAGCGCGGGCGGAGGGTGGCACCATCGACTTAAGCGAGGGTCCCGGGCCGCGCGCGCCAGTCAGCTGACAAACTCCGTCGCGCACACACACCCAACTTCACGCATTAACGCACCGGTATCGCGCAGTGACCGCACTTTCGTGTGATAATACAAACCCCTCGTGTTTCAAACTCTTTACAATGGCAACCTACGCTCAGTTCAAGCACGTAGAGCTCTACAAAATCGGGCACGGAAAGAACAGGTAAGTTTTCAGTTTCAGGACGGATGCTGCATCAAAAATTTTCAGTTTCATCCATATTGGAAATGTCAAGGGTTACATTAAATATTAATTGTTTTAATAGTTTTGAGGAGGCTAAGTTTACCTCTGAAACTTCTTTAAATACCTATTGAAAACATGTTACTTAAAGGATAAGAAGTAATACACTTTACACTGCCATAGCAAAAGCTTAGATAAATAGAATGATTGAATTCAACCCTCCCTTGTCGTTGTCCGATTTATTAACATTTCTTTGTCATTATCATGACCATAAATAATTTAGATACCAGGCCACAAAATAGAAATATTCTATATTAATGCGTAACGTGAAAATTGTTTTTATCTTTGTTCGGCATCGAGAATTGTGAGTTTTCACGTAAGTGCGTTGAACTCTTGGTGTAATTCGGAGGGCGACAAATTATATAAACTTTTATTCCTTTTTTATTTTGTTTCGGTGTTTTAAGTAAGTAACCGTTTTGATTATACTGAAATAATTTGAGTAATAATGCGGTTTTAGGGGTTTACATATCTATATCGAAAGATTATTCCTAATCATAGTTAGGATATTTCGTTGGTGCATAAACTTTCTATAGTTTATAAATCAGATCGGTCACGTTTATATGTGCACAAAGTATAAATAAAATTAAAATAATTCCATAGATACGGTAAAAGTGCATTGAATATTTCTAATAATTTTCTAGAGATGCGCAGTCTCCTAAATCCAAGTATCTCCTACTTTGTTACATTTTTATAATTAAAACATAACAATCCGATTAAAATTTAGGTTCCTCTCTAATTTAGGTAATCTAAATTTCTCGCCTTTCATTTCAACACGTATGCAAATTGGAAACACACATGTGAATGATATAAATTAATAATAAATAAATAGGAATTCCCTACGTAACAGATTTTTTTCTTATGTAATTGATTACATTCATATTTTTATGAAAATTATAATAGAAGTGATGGAACACGCAACTTTTACATGCGTGTCTAATCTTGTCACCTAGATTTTTGTAATGCTACGTTAGTTGACCAGTTTACTGTTAAGGTAAAACCGAAGGTTGCTTAAACTGATTAAAACATATTTTATACTTGTACAATTAGTCGCAAAAATTTATTTTTGTGTTTATAAATTTATTTGTCTTAAAGGTTTTTATACTAAATTATTGTTACTATAAAGAAAAGTACACGATGGTATTGACAGGTTAGATTGCTCTTGCTTCTGCTAGGAATTTAGATACCCGAGCCTATATCAGCAAAACAAAGTCAGTAATAGAAAGGGACACTCCTTTTTCAGCACCTCGCAGTTGGCCCAAAATTGACAGCTAGCATCAAATTACTTCTAACAAGTGAACAAAATTTTTTAATTTTGTTGCAAGTCATTTGCATGAATTAACAGCAATTACAATGCGTCTAACGGATTTTTTTATTAATTTATTTGCTTTTAGAAATCCCGTTGAAATTTCTAAATGTTGCGTTTCCAGTGCTTGCTTCGGTAAATATATCGACATTTGTATAAGATACTAGTACTACCCTGCACGCTTCGCTGTGGCATATCGTAGAAATGAGGAACAAAACCGACACGAAAAATAGATAAAACCCATCTTCGAAGGTGGTTGTATATCGTGTTTAAAATTAGAGCTCAATCGGTAACTTTTGAGTTTTTGAAGCGTACACAAATCAACTTAACATTTTTATATATAAAGATAGTAAACATTTTCTTTCTCATTCTACATGTAATATAAAAGCTGCTCTCTAAGTTTTCTTAATTGATATCTTGATTTTTAAATGAAACAGTTGAAAAATAATTTATGTAATTTATATTAATAATACATTCATATTAGTGTCTTGGTGGTCTCACAAGCAGCGAACTACTGCTATATCAGTCCTGATTTCTATCCGAGATTAGCGGTACTGTCCGATTTTCCAATCGCATTTTTTTGCTGTGTCCTGTCTAATTCAGCCGGCCATAATAGAATCCTGCCAAAACTGTTTGCAATGTTTGTTTGATATTACGCCGACCGCAAGTTTAATTAGGAAACAGACGAGCAGAGGATGAAGATAATGATTTATCTTCTTTACTTATTCTAAACGTTTAGCCATAATCTCCACCTGGTATTTGAAAGAACGTGTAAATTTTGGTTCCGTTAACCAATATTTCTTACTACTTACAATCATAATATAATCCGTACAGTAGTGATTTCTTTCCCTTTCAATTCCAATTCCAACCTAGATAACCATCAACTTTAGATAAACTGTGTTTATTTGCCAGCAACAAACTAATCACTTCATCCTTCGTGTTTAAAATTACAGACGACTTATTTAGAACGAGCTTATTACCATCGCTGAGGATTTCGTTCTTCCGTCCAGAGTTATCAGTAACCGTTAGGTCATTGATTACTTTATCGAATCGTGCTTAATTTAAGCCCATTACTAATGTTCCTTGCGATCCTCCTGCTCTTAAATAAGAATTATAGCTACTTGAGTTCAGTAGGAACCTCTTTGACAATGGGTATTTGTGATTCTTGAAAATCGTGGTCGTATATTCATTTATACTAAAAATATATGTAAATCAAACGCCAGTCTTAAGGTTCTACAGTTTAAATTGATTCTTTTAGTAGTTAGTGATTTCGACAACTAAACCAGTGGTCGTAGGCTCAATCCTTCATTATGATTTTGATCATTTTTTTACATCTGGGTGCAATTTAACTGAAATGTAAATGTGATCAGACCGCCATGTGTAAGATGTAATAATTATTATTCTTTTTATCGCATATACATTATGCATAACATTGTGCTATAAGCTCATAACCAAGGAGTTACCATAAAGCGGTTGAAACTGCGGGAACTGCTAATCCAAAGTGGTCTAACCAGACACACCAGAAACCAGACAAACACGCATAGCTTTTGTCATGTTAAAATAAAACGATTCGATCAACTTGAATAAACGTGCGTGCGTTGCGTCAGAAAGGGTTATTAACAAACTATATGATTTTCCTCGGTCTTTCAACGGCCGTATACTGCTTAACCGATTACGAAATTCTTATACAACGAAGCATACATGTCATTATCATGCGATCCCAAAATCATCTAGCTTTCAGGAATCAAAGAAAAATGTTACACCGTTACAAATCATTTGGGTAAAGAAAATTATCCGCATTGCGTGCGCATTGGTGTAAGAAGGCTCTGTTAATATAATTTTAAGACAATTCGTTATATAGAGATGCTTTTTCTCCATTTATAATTTGGTAAATTGAAGTAATAACATTTATTAGATAAATTGTAACATTGATAGCAATAAGACGTCCACTACCTTTCTTAAGTTTCTTCGACAGTCGATGTTTACTTACTTACCTAACATACAAAATGAAAAAAAACCTACAATACAAACATTTTATATAAATACATTATATAATACTTTATAAAAAAAAGTTATCACTTGATAACAATCTGAAGATAATAATTTTAGTATTAGTATTGATTTTGCGTATTCGTCGTAAGTTTTACAAAAACACGAAAAAAAAATCTGTTAATCTGACACCCCAAACGTCCCAAAATTACGTAGTTTGAAATATTCCTCTACCGCCCGACAATCTACGAACATATTCACCATATCAGTATAATAAAATATAATGTGACTGTACAAGGCTTATCACTTTTACGATGTTCTTGGAAAGTGACACGTTAACCCTATTTATAGCCGAGGTCACACTGCGAAAAATTAGGCTGGACTATTTCCAAATGTACGTTGGTTAGTAATACAGGCGAAGGCTAAGGGGCGGCCAACGTCGCGTGCTGTAGCCTACATTAGCATACCATAGGAAGTGTGTGATTATTCGCCTCGGGTAGACAGACGCATAGAGACACCTCTATAGGGTGTGTTCTTATAGTTTAATTACAGAATCACATGGGATGTGCTACATACTGTTAAAATACTGTAATGTGGTGGAGAAGTTTTATGTCTAGGAAGACATGAGAATATATTGGTAAGGTATCGCAAATGCGATTTAAAAGAAAACTCTTAACCGGCTACCAATTTACATAGCAGATCTAATAGTTTTTTTGTTAGATGGGTCATCGATTTTAAAATTGAACCACAGGATGGTGATGAGTCATAAAATTTCGAAATCATCAACAAAGTCCTGAACTTTTAAAATACTATTGCAAACATTATTTCAGGTCAGCAGTCAGATACATCCTGTATATTTACTGTATTTCGGCTGGTGGTAGACTGCGTCCTTGGCAGCCCTATAAATATTATTAGGATTAACCTCATTTGAATTTACGTCTGTGGCAAGAATAAGGGTTTTAACAAAAAGTTTTATTGTATTGTAGTGGTAGCTGCTTTTATACATCTACATTAGATATAGTTTTAAATTATGATGACATAATGGTACCGCTTTGTAGTTATTTATCATTCTTTTCATATTTACATAATAATTATTTACATAATAATAATTGTAAACTTTCATTTTAAAGGGCGAAGAGTTTCAGTAATATGTTTTTAGAAAAAAACAGATTAACGACGTGACGTGATACGCAATGCGTAATAGTGAGAGACGCACTCCACAAAATCATCTAAATAGATACGGATCTTGCTTTCAGACCATTAAGTGGAAATTCAGGTTGCACAGTGCTAATTACTTAAAGTTATAATATCAAAATAACTAATATTTCAAATGTGAAAGGGAGTGTGTTTGTTTGTTACGCTTTTGAGCCTTAACTACTCAACCGATCATCATAAAATTTTGTACACATGTCGTCAGAAGCGTAGAAAAAGGGACAAGTCCCAAAGATATCTGAATGAATTGACAAAAATAAATTCATAAATTCATTTGTATTTAAAATACATAGGGAGTAAACTTGCATTCCAGGAAGGATAAAAGACCAAAATAACTGTTCACAGCTACAACAGCTGTCTGCCTCGTATGTACTGTGCTCTTAACCATTTATTTTATCCTTAACGAGTACCTATTATGTAC